GATGCTTTACACTTGAGAGATGAAGTAATAACAGGTGGCAAGACCAGAGGCTGTCGGAGCCCAGGATTCCGGTTGCCATGGAAACATGTCAGACCTGTGGAGGGCCAGGAACTGTCAGCCATGGAGGGTGGTGGGGGAGACTGGCGAGAGGGGCAAGGAGAGGCACAGCTCCGCCTGGAGGGCTCTCCTCATTGTCCCCAGATTCCCCAAGGACTGTGCACCCCAACTAGCAGGCTCTGAAGAACACCCGGGGGCTGAGCCTGGGGCTGGGTATGGGCACGGAGTGTGGCCTCGTTTGTCTGCACCAGGCCCTGGCAGGCAGGCTGAGAGACTGCTCAGGATGTGAAGTCACACGCTTGTGTATGTGCCACGGAGGAGCCTCAACTTCTGGCTTGCTTCCCACTTCACTAGGACACTCGGGAGGCAGCTCTGCTCTCGGAAGAGCCTGATGAGGGCTGTTGCCGCTTACTGTGGCCAGACTGTCCCTGCCACTTGTCCTTTCTAAAGAGTGGCAGGCCTCCCGCCGCAGACATCAGATGGATGGGGGAATAGGCGGCCCTGCACGGGTGGTAGTTTCACAGATTTAGGGCCTTGTTTGCCTTAGACACATGGCCCGATTGAAGTGAAAAACCCTATGAAGTATACTAATACCGCTCTAGAATGATGCTCACCCTTTACTGAGTGTGGCGGTGGACTGTTTGGGGTTTGGTTTTTACTCTTGAGTTTGATTTACTGGAACCCTTCCTCCCTTCCTTTTGCATTTCCTCATGAACCTTTATCCTGATTTCCATTCTCCCCCCACCTCCCTTTGCGTTTTGTAGAGCTATCTCCCTCAGGTACATTCCTAAACTCTTAAGGCTCCTTTATTTTCTCAGCAGCTTCCTTGTAGCTCTTATATGATCTCAGTCCATGAACATTAATCAACAGAAAACCAAATCCATCATTGCAGATGCTGCCATCGAGATACCACTCTGGTCTCTGCCCTCCCCGTCATCTTATTCTATAAAGCAGGACTCAATTTCCCATAAGCAGAAGCAGAATCTCTATTTAAATCCCACTTGCGAGGTCTGGGAGAGCTTCCTATTTATAGTAAAATCCTTTTTATAATGATCTCATATACTATACCAGGAAATTGCTCACGGCTGGGTCAGGCCATAGGCCAATATAGCCATGGTGTGAGCTTTACTTTAAAAAAAAGTTCTTCATGAGCCTCTGGAATTCTCTGGAGATGTGTTTTCACAGAGTATATGCCAATAAACAGGATCACCTGGGATGGATTACTGTAGTAGGGCATTACATTTAAGTTCAAAGGGAATTTCTGGTTTTTATTAGGACAGTCTCAATAATTTTAATCACTTTGGGCTTCGTAAATATCATATTGGGTGAATTAAGATGCCTCTAAAGAGATTTATGAAATATTTTATATGCAAAGGATGTCCCAAAAGTGTTTGCCTGTGGACTTCCCAGGAGGCAGAGGAGTGTGGTTAGAGGCAGAGCCTATCTTGGGACACAGACACCTGAGGTGCTTCACAAGCCAGAGTCTTAATCTCATTGGACTTCAGTTACCTCATCTGTCAATTAATCCCTACTTTACTCAGTTTTTGTGATAATCAATGAAATTACATGCAAAGCATCTACCATAAGATCTATCACAGCTTTGTAGCTTAATAATTGTCTGTTTTTTTACTTCTAAAACTTGAACCAAGAGAGAGGCTGAGTGGGTGGGTGCAGCCTGGTGTCCCTTTTCAGGAGATAATGAATCATAGTTTATGCTTTTTGGGGCATGTTTGTATGTGCTGGTGTTTCATCTACCATAGTGGAGATCCAGCATTACTCTTTACAGCTTAAGGCCCTTGACCTACTGCTCTTGTGTACTCTGGGAAGGCAGTGTGGGACCAGGCCAGATGGCTGACCCATCCATTAGGTCATGGTCCAGCCCTCCTCTCCAAGGACTGGGAAAATAAACCAGTGAATGGTGTTCAGAGACAGGTGGCTCTGCCACAGGGAAAGCAACCACAGTGCTCTGTCCCCCTTGGAGGAGGCCAAATGCCTTATCTCCAAGGGCCCCGCCATTTCCATACTTATGCTTGGTCAAGAAGCTGCCTACCTGCCTCTCTGCCTTCCTTTTCTAGGCTGTTCACCCCACCTGTTGTTAACTATTTCCTGTAACTATTAACTCTGTACCCTGTGTGCTATTTGCACAGGGATCTGAAGATCATTTAAAAATGGGGTGATGAGGTGGTAGAGCAAGAGAAGGGTCATAAATGTGATGGCAACATTGTCCTCTTCCAAGGTCATTTCTGGCTGGGGAATATGGGAGAGGTCCATGGGAGAACTCTTAACCCCAAAAATCAATCCTAAATACCCCAAAATTTAAGAGAATCAGATATAAAAGCTATTGATTTATCTATCCCAAGATATTTTACCTAGCTGGAAGGAAGCTTTGAGCTAATGTGGGAAGATAGGAGGAAAAGAAAAGAATGTTGCTGGAAACAAGCATACCTCACACCTGTTCACTATCACTTTCTATATTGGGCCATTGATAGATGAATATAGTAACCCCCATCCTCCTCCTACACCTCCCTCCCCACAAAATATGTCATAACTGCACACATCAGGGTTTACATCTAGTTTTTGAGCATCTTCCTCAATGCCTTGGCTAAACACTTTTTATGGCCAACAACCAGCACACATCTGTGCGGGGACTCTGCTCTGACTCAGTTGCTCAGAAACTTCTCCTCATCAGATATATTCAATTCTGTTCCTTTTGTCTTCTTATATAGGCTCATTTCTCCATCACTGCTTTTCTCTACTAGATCATTCCTGAAATTTTTATTTCTGGCAATATTCAAGTCCTTGACCAATGGAGTGTTTTACCAATGGTCTGTTGCTGGTATAAACTGTAAAGAATTATCTGGAAGTTATTCCGTATTCTACTTCTTCATCCTCATAATTCACAAGAGATACAGTGTCTTAGAGAAAAACAGATTCTTTACTGGCTTAAGGGTTTTATGAAAGGGGAAGAAATCACATAATAGGAAGTCCCTGAGAGAGGGGGAAAGAGATGGATGATGAGACTGGGCCTCTTGAGAGTTTTAGTGGGTTGATATACATGAGTCTCTCTGATTGCTTTTCATGCAGGAAGAAGCGACCTAAGTCGTGATTGGCATCTCCATATTTTATATTTAATAATTGTCAATCATGAAATTTAGCTTTGGTTTACCTTTAGCCCTTAAATTTAATATCCCCTTCTTCCTGTTCACCTTTTGATTGATTTTCATAATAGCCTCCTAATGAGGAAACCCTGAGTTTATTTGCTTCCTAGGCATGTTTGAATTTCGTAAGAGAGTTCTAAAAATGGTTAAGATGGCACCAAGAAGGAACAAGGGACACTAGTGCTTCTGGATTTGGGCAATGAAGATTTTCTAGGTAGACTAAAATTTTTGCAGACATGCTGATTTTTGGAGATGATTTGTAAAACCGTTCTGTATGATGTGCAGATGTCTTGAGATGCAGTGACTGATAAAGAAAAACCCACACTCAGCAGGCCACAGGGTATGGCCAGCTTCTCTGTCTGCCCCAAACAGCCTACACTTTTCTTGCAGAGAATTGTCTGCCTCCCTGAAGATGAAAATCAATGACTTAGAAACTGATTAAACAATCCAAATAGCAACTGATAAATGGATTAACCCTCTATAATGTAATTCCACAAGCTTTTGTCTTCCGCCTTCCCCAGGTAAGTTTTTCTATTCCTGGAGGCAAAGCAGAGGCATGGAGTAAGCTAAGGCCAGAGGGAATCATATTAAAGTGGGTGAATCCGTTTATCACTTACTGTCTGGATGGTATTTGTGCTCACATATCTGCTTCCTTTTACAGATTTGTACCCTACGGGACCCTGATTAATGTTAGCCAGTGAATAATGAAAGATAGCAGGAGACATTGGGTATAGCGTGGAGGAAGATACCCTAGTGGTTTAGGCTGATCCTATAAACCTCCATTCCTTTCTTCTTAGCTGCAAACAGGGCGTATTAATGTGACAAAGAAATGTCCACAATAGGGATAGAAAAACAGGAAAAATGGAGGCATTTCTCCATACAAAGAAACTACCTGGCCAAGCCTTTTCAACTAGCCCCTGGAAACCGAGCATGATTTCAATGCTCCAGGATATGGACTGTTCTTGCAAAGCTTTGTTTTCAAGAACATATCCTAAGATTTTCCTTTGCTTTTGTGTAACACCTGTCTGCATGACTGGCTTATGAAGATCTAAAGCCTCGAGATGTGCTTGCTCACTCATCATTTAACCCATCTCTGGCATGAGGCTGAGCTAAGTGTCCAGTTCTGATTCTTGGGGTCTGGCAGTTGGGGTCTATTGATTAACTAGTCCTGGATGCATTCCATGACCAACAATTCTGGATTTCAAGAAAATGAGACCACACCAGAGTGGACACCTGTGCACCTGCCAAGATATTCTTCAGAGCTCCCAAGAGCATCTTCAGTGTCCTTCCTGGAAATGATCACCCCTCGGTGATGCTTTGTTTTCCAAAAGAGACAGGGGGAGAATCTTCTAAACGAGAGCATCTATCCAGCATTGACTTGTCTCTGTCCCTCTAGTGAACCACTGTCTGTGGTTGCCACCTGCCAGTTGGATCCTTGGCTCATTGGAGCTCATTGTTCAGGGTTCACTTAAGGAGTAGTAGGCCTTCTGGTGCTTTGTGCCTTTAAGAATGTGGTCACATGAGCTAGGTAACTTCTACGAAAACATAGATCTGGAAAATAATGCAAAAATCAAACTCAACTCTGCATGGCTTGCAAGGCATTATTACTGTTGAACAAAGAAGCAGAGAGAAAACAGCCCAATTTAACAACTCGATTGTAACAAAATCTCAGATACTAAGCTTTGTATTCTTTCTGGAGCAGATCTGGCCAAACTCTGGGAGGAGACGGGTCAGTAGAAACTCATGTCAGTCTAACAGTGGATTTAAAAAAATTTTTTTCCACAGCCCAGAAAGGACCGGATGGGACAGTCATTCCCAATAACTACTGTGACTTCTGCTTGGGGGGCTCTAACTTGAACAAGAAGAGTGGGCGGCCAGAAGAGCTGGTGTCGTGTGCAGACTGTGGACGCTCTGGTGAGTGTGGCCCCTTCTTGCATGGTGTGCGGTAGCCAGGAACTGCTCCACTTGCATTCCTCTGCCATCTTTTGGGTGGTGGGGCTCAAAGGGCGGAGTGGTGATTTCCGGTGGAGAGGGGTTTGCAGGTCTTTTGCTATTTTTCTTCTTTGGGTCTTAAGAATCAAAAGTTATGTCTTGGGATCCGGGGAAAAGGGGAAAGAAGTTTTGACTTGTGTCCGGGCCTTTCCATGAGGTGGCTATTTCCTTGCATGTGTTGGTATGGACGTCCGTGAGATAGTGTAGACACCTGGAGACAAAGGCAGCTTGCTTCCTTGTGTCGGGTGATGTGCATGGAACAAAAAGATGTGTTTGTCCTGTGGAAGTGTCTGGGGGAAAACTGGAAGAGTATGGAAACATAAATATTGGGAGAGCACGTACATCTTGAACTGGGGGAGTCAGAGACCCCTGGGTTCCTGGGTAGATGCATAAACACCACCTCCATTGACCACTCATCTCATTTTCTCCTGTGGAACAGACAAAGGAGACCCTGACAGATCAGAGAGGTGAAAGAGCAGGCCTTCTAAGGGCTAATATGGAATAGACTTAGCATTTTTTTTTAAATTTTCATCTTTAACTTCTTCAAAGACTGTAATAACAAAAAAGATTTTGGTCTTATTTTTTCATCCTTAAAATGAGTTCAGTTTTTCAAGTTTTGTTCAAGCTCTTTTGTTTTTCAACTCTAACCATACCATGATTTTTGGCTGGTCCTGGTTGGCTGTTACTACCTATTTTTTTTATATTGTTTTATAACCGCTGACGAGTAGGTGATACTGTTCAATTGTATATTTGGTTTCAGCAATGAGGGGTCCTTCCTGTTTCTACCTGTCTGCCCAATATCTTTTCAACTCCTAGTCCCAAGAGACGGACTGAGATGACCACACCTCGGTTTACCTTAGTAACTTAGTTTTTCCCTTATGTTGTCTGCAAACCTTGTCATTAGTCCTTTTATATTTGGTGTTTATGTTGTTTAGATTTTAAGACTGACTTGAATCAGTTATCAGAAAAGGACTGTGGTTTCCATTGCACACAACTCTTAACATGTAATTTTTAAGGACCCTAAAATAGTGGCCCATTTTTGCTTTCCTGTCAATTCGTTTACTATCCAAACCCTGAACCTATTACTCTACTGGTGCCAGTAGAGAGAGGGCCCTTGTGATAGTGATAGTGGGCCTTAAGTTTTAGATAGTTAAAAAGAAAACAAAACCATTGAAACTCAATTCCCTGTTTCTTAGAAGGAAGTGATCAGACAAAATCTTTACCCAGCAAAGTCACTTGGGGGCGTGATATTCTAGGCAGAATGTTAAGGACTGCTGTGGATTTGGGGTACTTTAGAAAGGGCAACTTCAGAGTTCTCTTTAAAAAAACAGCTATCATTTCCTTCTTTCCCTGCATAAGATGGAGCCCTTGAGTCTGATCTTTGGGGTACTAGAAGTGGCAGTTGTTTTTTTCTACCCAGAGCCTCTCTCTTCACATGCAGTCTTTGTTCAGCTTTGGCTTCTCAGGATCTGTGTGCTCTGTGACTCAGGGGACCATTTGACACCAGCCTAGGCCTTGTCATTGTATTTGTCCAGGATTAATTCTGGTGGATACTTTAGTCAAGGTCTGACTTTGATGTTCCTGAAACAGTGATACCTTGGAGATAACAAATGGGTGGCATTAACCCCTAGAACATGCTTGTTCAGAGAGGGGGGAAATACTTCTCTAGGGCTTTCCTGGAGTCCTTCCAAGGAGAGCATGGAGCTCGGTAGGGCTGCCTTTCTCTTCCATCTGCCCCACTTTCTCTGTTTCCTGGGGAGAAAGTGAGATTCCTGAAATGGACACCAGATGTGGCACATCATAGCCTCATTTGGGGGCAGTCCTGGGGCCCATTTTGAATGTGAAAAGGTTTAAATCTGAATTTTACAGATTTCAGTATTAACTCTATCTTACTAGGTTTTTTAACCCCCAGTTCCCACTTACTTATGCTTTGAGTTAGATTTGATGACTCGGGACTTCTCTGGAGTAATTGAGACCTGATGTGTTTAGTGGCTGGAGTGAAAGAGAGAGAGAGAGAGAGAGAAACAGAGAGTGTGTGTGTGTGTGTGTGTGTGTGCGCACGCATACATGTATGCACATGCTCTTGTGTGTGGATGCGGATCACAGATATTTCCTCCAGTGGTTAAAAAAGATGACTCTATCTACTTAACAGTTATCAGACTTTCCAACTACTTTTTATTTCCAGGGCAATGAATTACCTGATGTAAGGGCAGAATTGAAAGGGTACTGAGAGAATGAGGCTAGAAATGAGTAAAAATAAAAATAAAGCGGATGGAGGCTTAAGCACCTCGAATGTGTTACCTGACAGTAATCCCTTTGTAAAGCTGACTGTCAAAATTTTAAGGACCAACATTGTTCCGATAAACACCAACTGAAAGCACCAAAGAAATACCAACCAGACTTCAAAACTACCAAGGAAACTTTTTGTTTGGGGCGGGTGGAGCGAGCGTGCATGCGTATGTGTGCCTACGGAGGAGAAGCAAGGACGATCGTGGTTGATTCGTTCTCTGTGAGAAGCCGCGGCCTTCTATATCATGGTTAGAGATGATATCTTTTCAGGGAGGGAGGAGGAATCCTTTTCCCTGGAATTGTTTGCTTTGTCCTGCTATCCCAAATCGTCCAGGTGATGAACCAGTTAATCCCTTGTGGTGTGAAATGGTTTATGATCTTGCTATTAAGAATAACATTGTGGTAATGTAATAAGAATATTAATAATGCTGTCTGTTGCTTAACCCATGTGCTGATATATTCATCATACATGTCAGCTCATTTGGGAGGAGAAGGCAGGAAGGAGAAGGCAGCGGCCGCAGCACGCACCACGGAGGACTTATTCGGTTCCACGTCAGAAAGTGACACCTCAACTTTCCACGGCTTTGATGAGGACGATTTGGAAGAGCCTCGCACCTGCCGAGGACGCCGCGGTGGCCGGGGCTCGCCCACAGCAGATAAAAAGGGCAGTTGCTAAACCCACGGAACAGACTCTCTGGGCAATTAGCCACCACCCTCTGACTTTGGTCATTGTTCTGGTTCTGATATATTTTTTTTTAATGAGAGACAACTTAGGTTTTCCCCCCTCTCCTTGCTTTTCCCTCTCACCTTCCACACATCCTGCCCTCCTTCCCCTCTGTTCTGGGTATGTACAGCAGAAGCACAAACTACTGAAACAAAACAAAACAGGACAAAAGAGCAGCGTAACAGTCCTTCAGCGTGACGGCATCGTGATGTCCTATTTATTTTCCATAGACGTGGGGAGTTAGGTGGATTATCTATTTGGGGGGAGGGGATCTTTTTGACATGAGCAGAGTTGATTTTCTCAGTTTTCATATTTATTGGCAAAGTGAAAAGAGGAGGAACATTGGGTTTGGAAACAAAGAGCCAATAACATTAAACAGTTGTTATTTATGTATTCTTGCTATTATTAGAAATGGACCTTTTTCTTTGAGAGAGAGAGAAGGGAAATCAAAGAAATTGAACTAATATCCTGTCTAGAAGAAAGCCACTGGGGGAGGGTTGACTGACGGAGGAGACCTAGCCAGGAGGATTTCCTCCATGGGAGATGATTGCACTTTCTGTACCCCACAGAGTTTGTGGCTCCCCATGGCAGACCCCTCCCCATCTCTCCTCCTTGACCTTTCCATCTTCCTCCCTGCTTGTGAGAAAATGTCAGCAGTTCCAGAGAAGTCTGGGGCTGAACGTGGCCTCCCTCCAGCACCCGGGCCTCGACCCACAGCCACCCGGGCTCCTGGACAGCACAGCCGCTGTTTTGTTGTTGCTGGCTTTTACCTCGCTTTCCTTCTGGCGAAGAGCAATTTCCAAACGCAGGAACGGAATAGAAGCAGAGAGTCATGGACTCAGCAGTGACCCAACAAGCGGATGCCACCCTCCTGGAAGAAAGAATGATACCTCACAGTATACTGCCCCTCCCCTCGCCCTTGTTTAAAAACTTATAAATTCCTGTTGGATGATCAAGTCTCCCGTGTTTCTTCTATTTTTTTTTATAGTGTCCTCCAGGCACTTTGTTTTATGTTTCCAATAGCACCTCCTGAAATAAACCAAAGCAACACTTGCTCAAGGCCCCTGGGAGATGGAGAAGACCCTCCGCCTCGTTGGCAGTCCCACGAGTGAACGGCTGTGCGGTCCTGGGCCAAAGGTAGGTCTCGACTGACCTGCCTTACCATGAGGACACACCATCATAGTTTCTTTGTTTTATATTTTCAGTTTTTCTATCTCCCCATCCATGCCTAGATTGTCTTTTGTTTGCCTGAGTTTAGGCCCCCCGGATAGTGTGGGAGTGGCTACTGGCGCAGCTTCCCCAGCCCTCTGCTGTCTGTGTGTGCATGCATACCCACGCGGGCTGGGCCTGGCTGTGGGAACTGAGGCCTGTGTGGACTGTGGGAGGGGGCTCTGTGTGGAGAACGGTGGGCTTCTGGCCTCAACTGCAAGAGAGAATGGCTGGGGAAGTGTTTGGCTCACTCTGTCTCCCTTGGCTACACCCGGAAGTGGCTTCCAGGGAACTGGGGTTGGAGTTGGTTGCTGTGTTGTGTGGAATGAGGGTGTGTGACCTTGGGGGTGCTGCATATCCAGGGTGGTGGGCTTTGCTTCAGGTACCAATTTCACAGCCAGAGGGATATGTCCAAACTGAACAAGATCTCTGATTAGGCACAGCCCTCTACCGAGCTGATCTGAAGGCTCTGAACTCCCCTAAGTGTGGTTAGGGTCTCCAGCCTCCATGCAAATATAAGTCTAGAAAGACAAGCACTGCCATTCGTCTTGGGTTGGTAGATCCCAGTGGCCACTGCTGCAACAGGCAGTTTGTAAGTGTCTGGGAAGATCTGATTTGACAGTCCAGCCTTTGCAGCTCCTCTTGAATTAGACCTTTTATTAAAATAACAAACCAACCAAACAAAAGCAAGGACCCAGCA